CGTTTCGTTCGTTTCGTTCGTTCGTTCGTTCGTTCGTTCGTTCGTTCGTTCGTTCGTTCGTTCAGTTCGTTCGTTCGTTTGTTCGTTCGTTAGTTCGTTCGTTCGTTCGTTCGTTCTTGTCGTTCGTTCGTTCGTTCGTTGTTCGTTCGTTCGTTTCGTTCGTTTCGTTCGTTTCGTTCGTTCGTTCGTTCGTTCGTTCGTTCGTTCGTTCGTTCGTTTCGTTCGTTTTTTTCGTTCGTTTCGTTCGTTCGTTCGTTCGTTCGTTTCGTTCGTTCGTTCGTTCGTTTCGTTCGTTCGTTCGTTCTTCGTTCGTTCGTTCGTTTCGTTCGTTCGTTCGTTCGTTCGTTCGTTCGTTCGTTCGTTCGTTCGTTCGTTCGTTTCGTTCGTTCGTTCGTTCGTTCGTTCGTTCGTTCGTTCGTTCGTTTCGTTTCGTTCGTTCGTTCGTTCGTTCGTTCTTTCGTTCGTTTTCGTTCGTTCGTTCGTTCGTTCGTTTTTCGTTCGTTCGTTCGTTCGTTCGTTCGTTCGTTCGTTCGTTCGTTTTGTTCTTGTTCGTTCGTTCGTTCGTTCGTTCGTTCGTTCGTTCGTTCGTTTTCGTTCGTTTTTCGTTCGTTCGTTCGTTCGTTTTCGTTCTTCGTTCGTTCTTCGTTCGTTCGTTCGTTCGTTCGTTGTTCGTTCGTTCGTTCGTTCGTTCGTTCGTTCGTTCGTTCGTTCGTTCGTTCGTTCGTTCGTTCGTTCGTTTCGTTCGTTCGTTGTTCGTTCGTTCTTTTCGTTCGTTCGTTTCGTTCGTTCGTTCTTCTTCGTTCTTCGTTCGTTCGTTCGTTCGTTCGTTCGTTCGTTCGTTCGTTCGTTCGTTCGTTCGTTCGTTTCGTTCGTTCGTTCGTTCGTTTCGTTCGTTCGTTTCTTCGTTCGTTCGTTCGTTCGTTTTCGTTCGTTCGTTCGTTCGTTCGTTCGTTCGTTCGTTCGTTCGTTCTTCGTTCGTTCGTTCGTTCGTTCGTTCGTTCGTTCGTTCGCTCGTTCTTCCCGGCGTGCCTTGTCCTCTGCTTTTTTGTCCCTCTGTCCCTTCCTTTCCCCTTTCTCTCCTCCCTCTTACTCTTCCTGCCTCACCGTCAGTCTGGCTGTGCTTCCCCCTCCATTCCTACATCCGTTTCTTCATCATTTTCCACACATATATATTCATAACAACAATAAAAATAATAATAACGCCTTTATTGACTTCGAGAAAGAAAGAAAATGTTCATCAAACATTTAATATTTTTGGATCTAAGTTTTCTCTCAATCTTTTCTTCGTCGAATTCTGACAACGTGTAGACGAGATGCCTGCCTCAAACATACAATACCATTTTAGGTTGTCATTTATGCTGACGTACGCGTAGTTTTACACTGATGTTGATAATGACGATGATGATGTTTCGATTGTTGATGATGACAGCTTGTCCTTTATCCTTTTGTGTCATTTAACATGAATATTACGAATATATTGGTGTCGTTTTCATTTCTTATTTGTTTCGCATCGACATCTTATAAATGTGTGACAAATCTACCAATACGTTTACATTCTTTTTTGCACATCCTTTAGGTAATTGTCATGATGGTTGTTAAGGAGAATTTGGTGAGTGTTCTTATGTATTAAAATGGGTTTTTTGAGATTTTCGGTAATTTTAATTAATTTAATCTAGTGTTTTTCATAGTAGATCGTCGAACATTATTTGCTTAAAATCGTTCTATCGAACCTATAGTCTTTAGGCCAAACTGTTGACTCGAAAAATAATTGGTTATACTTTTGGATTGATTCTTTAACTTTTAGGTCCCTCTCTGTTGATAAATGAAAGCCCTTAATACCCTCCTACCTACAGCTATTAACTGGTTAAATTACGGCTCGTTTGGTTTGCATTTATAAAAGAGAAAAAATATTATAATGAAACTATAGCAAAAAAACTCTTAATGATCGTCTGCAATTTAAGCCTTACATTGGTGACGTTTTGTATATTTTCGCAGATAGATGTGTTTCTGTAAAAGTTTTTCACATTTTCATATAATTTTATTTACATGCATATGTGTGTATGTTTAAGTATGTGTGAATAAATTCATTAAACTAAGAGTTAAAGGTTTTGTGTAAAAAAAAAGACAGAAAGACAAAAAAAGAAATCAAAAGCGTACGAATGAATGAATAAGGAAATTGCTGTCACTTTTAAGGATTAAACATAAACAGGAAACCAACTATGTCAGTAGGTTAAACTAAAAGATTTAAATGTTAATTTTTATTTTAACCTTAAATTTAATTTTTAGTGAATTTAATAAAATTTGCAATTTAATATCTTTAATTTAATGCAGTTTTCAATTGCAACATGACATTCTGACAAGTATGTATTACTACGAATATTTCGAAATTTGTTTATCAACAATACTTACATATATGACAGAGTTAAAGACCATTACGTCTGATAACAATTTTCGATTGATATAGCTATCTCTGATATAGCTATCTTTGGCCAAAGCAGTTTTAATTGAAATAATCTATTCGCTGTTTCCCAAATCTTTAACGTATTAAAACAGATCTTTTAAAGCACAATAAACATATTCGTTTCATTAATAATTTACGATTAAATACATATTATTAAATATTTTGTATTAAAGTGAAATTTATTTCATCACTCACACCTACGGGTAGACAGACAAAATGAGAAGTATTTACACTAGTGTTGATAAAATCTGCTACTGTTTATAAGATTTAAATTTCTACTGATTTCAAAAGAATGATAATTGAGAAAAGAAAAACTATGTGTTATTACCTGTTGCAATTCTCTAACAGTTTAAGTAAACGAATCCTTATCGAATTTGTGTTTTAGAAAAGCTTGGTCTCTTGGTACGGCCGCAATAAACAATCACTCTCTGTCACAACATAGACAAATACTCTGCGGAATTAATTTGGGTTCCAGGGCACGCGTGAATTCGAAATGCTTCTCATAGGCTTACCTACTAAGCATTGTTGGATTAGACGTATGATCTACTTATAGGAGATGTTTTTAGACGATTAAGAATCCAATTTTATGACTGCTCCACTCTACAAGAGAGAGATATTTTGTTATATGCCTTTCATTGCACAGGCCAACAAATTTTTAATCCGAAGACTAAAGTATACATATCTCTAGGATTGAATCCGAATCCGAAATTTCAGAATTTCTATATCTCATCAAGTTTTCGCAACATCGAGTCCTTAAACTCGGCATAAAGTTCTCACATAGAACAGTATCCGATACTTTTAATAAATTTAATTATATTCGTTAGTGACATGTTCTTGATACTGAGCCAGTTAACATAGGTCAACAAAATTTTAAAATATTTAAAATCCAGAGACTGCAATATACTTTTATAAGGGATTATTGAGCTGTGCTAAATCAAGTTTTCCAGTTATCATGTCATAAAGATTACAAAAACTCCCTTTTTTTGTTGTGTCATCAGAAAGCTTAATCTGAGCTGTGATATCTTCTCTTGAAACTTTGGGTTATAATATCTCGAAATAGAAAGAAGATATAACAGAGGCTCAACCTTTATTTTAGAGTCGACCAATTGGACTCTTAGACAACGTAACAAGTTTTTTTAAATAAAGATGCCTTTGCGCTATTATAACGTCTCAAATATGGCTAAAAGGGGTTATTGCAATCTTTATAACGAATATAATTAAATTTATTAGAAGGATGGCTCTCTGTGTGATTAAATGAATAAAACTATAGACCAAATTAAGGAGGAATAATAAAAGGATTATCTCAATAGCATGTTCTGCATAAAACCTGAAATTTTCATATAACCTTATCTATAACTTGGCTGAAAACCCAAAAGCCAAAGCTAGTCTTAGTTAACAGGGCGATTGAGAGTCCAAAATGTTATCCGAAACCTATAGTCAATCGAACCTTGATTTAGTTGACAGGGAAAAGATAGTGAAACCACTCATATGGCATTATTATAGATTAATATTCGAGAGACTCTGTGACATCATCAGTGCTCGAATAGTAGAATGCAAATTCTAAGGCCCTATTGTCAACACTTGTCATGAGGGCTACCAAGATACGTTTAGGACAAAATAAGCGCAGTCTAAGGATTCTGACAGGCATCCTAAGAGGTCATTTTTCAATTAGGGGAAAGTAAGTGGGAAAGTAATATATCGATTTATTGCAGGTTATGTGAAGATGAAGAGGAACTAGAGACGATCAAGCAACTGTCCTAGAATACAGAATTTTAGGTTGAATTGGCCTACGGGAAACGACCTGTTTCCATTCTAAACTCCTCCTTATTTATTTTTTAAGTGTTTTGTCTCTTTCGATCATAACTTCCTACGAAAAGAATCACTGGACTTTCTCAAGTGTGAAGAGTCCTTATATCTGAATCTAAGGAATAATCTATCAAGTACCCAATTCCTACTACTCCTTACTTTCACTGCACTATTATTATCAGAATAAAATTATTACTTTATATAGATTTATATAAAAGCTGAATACTGACTGAGAATAAATACATTCATACATAAAATATAATTACCTTATAATTAAGTTGAAAGTGTTATTATGCAAATTTTTTTGTTCATAAAAAGGATAAATATTTGTTTTCCGGCAAATAATTGGAGCACACATCTGTATTTGTGTGTGTATCTACATACATACGTACATATGTATTTGTATATTTAAGTGCGTATATTTATTTACATTTGATATTAAATTTATTATAATATTTAATTGAAAAATGCTGTCGATTGGGAGGAAATAACAAAATGAAAATGGTTAATTATAATAAACATGTTGTCAGCTGATGAATGTATATAAAGATTGTATAGAATGTGATAGATAAATATATAAATACATTAACATATACACATATATATATTATAATATAGTAATGTATGTGTATATAAAACTATAAATTAAAATCAAATAAAAACAAATTTAAAACACGTTGATTTATTTAAACAATATTAATGTTTGGTTTCTACTTAATAATTTGTATTTTAGGTGGTTTTATGGGTGATATAGCTTTACCCGATGTGGAATATGATGCTGAGGGTTATCCTATAGTGGCTAGTACTCAAGCTTGGGAAGAGCTACCACAAGGTGATGCTCCTATGAAAGAGCCAGTTATGAAATACAATGAAACGTTTCAAAAGGAAATGGAGATTTTAAAACAGGAGGTGTATCATGAGGGCCTGCAAGTGGAAGAAGAAGGTCTCACGGATATCATAAGAAGAAAAACTAAATTGCCTAGCAATAAGCCGGATTTGGATAATGATCTAATGCAGGTAAATTTCTACAAACAAAAATTTATTATTCAATAAAAAATTTGTAATTCAAAATTTTTAATTCCTTTTTTTGTATACACTTAGTCTGCCAATGAATTAATTAAACCCTCCAGCAATTATCCCTCCATTAATTTAAAAAACGAAGTCATTTCCTCAGAAGAACAAACTTTATCCTCACGCAAATATCCCATTGTAATGGAAACGAAAAAACATTTACCAATAGAACAAAATACTCCCGATAAGGGAGCTTTAGACAAAACATTTAATACCTCTGGAGAAAAATTCGACTTTAACCTATTGGCTAAGGAAAAGTCTCAAAGCGAAGAGGAAAAATATAATAAATCATCGATTGGCTTGGGTAATCGTAATGTCGATCAACGTAAAATACAATCGAATACCAAAGATATTGAACTGGATACGGGTAATAATTTTGTATCGGAACGTAAAGTTGTTATATTGCCCACCTCGCTGCCGTCACAGAGATCAACTTTGCCTAATGTCTATAGTAATGCTGGTGGTAATGGCATGAAATTGGATGAAATTCAAGAGATTAAGGGCAGCAGCACGATTGTTAAGCGTAGACATCGTAGGGGGAGGAAACATAGGTGAGTGGTGATTTTATTTCTAATTAAATTCTCCTTATATATATTTATTGAATTTCTTTTAAAATTTTCTATTTAGAAGAAAATTTTTGGAAATTTCTTGAACATTTTCGAAAATTTCTCTTTTAACAGAAAATTTTCGAAAATTTCTCTTTTAACAGAAAATTTTTGGGAAATTTCTCTTTTTATAGCAAAATTTTTGGAAATTTCTCTTTTAATAGAAAATTTTTGGAAATTTCTCTTTTGATAGAAAATTTTCGGAAATTTCTCTTTTGATAGAAAATTTTCGGATATTTCTCTTTTGATAGAAAATTTTTGGAAATTTCTCTTTTGATAGAAAATTTTCGGAAATTTCTCTTTTGATAGAAAATTTTTGGAAATTTCTCTTTTGATAGAAAATTTTCGGAAATTTCTCTTTTGATAGAAAATTTTCGGAAATTTCTCTTTTTATAATAAAATTTATCTTTTTATAGAAAATTTTCGGAAATTTCTTTTCTTATAGAAAATTTTCGGAAATTTCTCTTTTTATAGAACATTTTCGGAAATTTCTCTTTTTATAGAACATTTTCGGAAATTTCTCTTTTTATAGAACATTTTCGGAAATTTCTCTTTTTATAGAACATTTTCGGAAATTTCTCTTTTAATAGAACATTTTCGGAAATTTCTCTTTTTATAGAAAATTTTCGGAAATTTCTCTTTTTATAGAAAATTTTCGGAAATTTCTCTTTTTATAGAAAATTTTCGGAAATTTCTCTTTTTATAGAAAATTTTCGGAAATTTCTCTTTTATAGAAAATTTTCGGAAATTTCTCTTTTTATAGAAAATTTTCGGAAATTTCTCTTTTTATAGAAAATTTTCGGAAATTTCTCTTTTTATCTCTTTTTATAGAAAATTTTCGGAAATTTCTCTATTAATAGAAAATTTTCGGAACTTTCTCTATTAATAGAAAATTTTCGGAACATTCTCTATTAATAGAAAATTTCACTTTTGATAGAAAATTTTGGGAAATTTCTCTTTTGATAGAAAATTTTTGGAAGTTTCTCTTTTGATAGACAATTTTTGGAAATTTCTCTTTAAATGAAAAGTTTTTTAACATTTTCGAAAATTTCTCTTTTAATAATTTTAGAAAATTTCTCTTTTTATATAAAATTTTCTGAACTTATCTTTAATAGAAAGTTTTCGGAAATGCCTCTATAATAGAAATTTTTCGGAAATGGCTCTATAATAGAAATTTTGTTGGAAATTGAAAGAAATTTTTCGGAAATTTCTCTTTAATTTTCGGATTTATCTCTTTAAATAGGAAATCTCTTTTAATAGAACATTTTTCGAAAAATTTTCTTTTAATAGAATTTTTTTTCGGAAATTTCTCTTTTAATAGAAAGTTTTAGAAATTTTCTCTTTTAATATATATTTTCGGTTTTAATAGAAGTCAGATTTTTACATAAATTTTCTTCTCTATTCCTCCCTTTAAATACAGGCGCAGTTATGGTCACCATCATCGCGCAGAGTACAATTCAAAATTAGAGAAATTAAAAGAAGAACTCAACCGGCCAGTGGGCAGATCAAGACAAAATAAAAAGCAGCAGCAACAAAATCATCATCATATCGAGACACCTGCATTTTATAATGAGAAATTTAGCAATATGTCGCATATGGAAAATGAAACCTCCAACAATGAAATGAGATATTCCAAAGTTTCAGACAACTTTAACGATGAAGACTATGATAAACCCCTAGATATAGTACCAGCTTATGAAGCCGAACCGGAAGAGGAGTGAGTGCTTAATAAAAACCTAAACACAATGAGAATATTAATTTTATTTTTTCTCTATTTGCAGTGAATTTAGTTTTGTACGTGAACATCGTCGCTTGCCCAGAGCTGTAACGGCTAAAAAGGAAAGGGTATGGGATTTTGGTGTGATACCCTATGAAATTGATGGTAATTTTAGTGGTCTGCATAAGGCTTTATTTAAACAAGCCATGAGACATTGGGAAAATTCGACTTGTATTAAGTTTGTGGAACGAGAACCAGAAAATCATCCCAATTATATTGTTTTCACTATACGTGGCTGTGGGTAAGTTAACAATGTGTAAATTACAATTGCCACAACAAGCAAGGAGACAGACAGACATACATATAATTGTCACACTTTATAACCCAGCAAACATTTTTATAAAATAGGTTTCACAATTATTAAGGAAGCTATAATTTCAAATGATAACATTTGAGAAAACTTTCAGTTTCGTAATATTTAGAATGTTTGCTGGGTTATAATGTGTGTGTCCTTTTATCAAATTTACACTCCGTTTAAAGTGTTGGACAATGGCATTTCAATACAATTTACAAATTTTATGTTTATGTTTCTGTTTCATTATTTTCTGTATTCTGATGTTTTTTTTTGGAAATTCTTTATGCAAATGTTTACAGTTGCTGTTCGTTTGTTGGCAAGCGTGGCAATGGTCCACAGGCCATTTCGATTGGTCGCAATTGTGATAAATTTGGCATTGTTGTTCATGAATTGGGTCATGTTGTTGGCTTTTGGCACGAACATACGCGTCCGGATCGTGGCAACCATGTTATCATTGAACACAACAATATTATGAAGGGACAAGATTATAACTTTAATAAATTAACACCAGACGAGGTGGATTCATTGGGTATGGCCTATGATTATGATTCGATTATGCACTATGCACGCAATACTTTCTCTAAGGGCACATATCTAGACACCATTTTACCCATAGAGGTGAAGGGTAAGAAGAGACCGGAAATTGGGCAACGTTTGCGTCTGAGTGCGGGTGATATTGCACAGGCTAATTTATTGTATAGATGTCCGAAATGTGGTCGCACATTCCAAGAGAATACAGGAATATTTGCCAGTCCTTCGTACTATACAGCTGGTGCTCTAACAAATGAAACCGAACATTGTGAATGGCGTATAACGGCCACACATGGTGAACGAGTGGTTTTGAAATTGGAAAATTTGGTATGTTCACAATGAAAATTGTCTATTAATTATTTTAAAACACACACACATACACACAAACCCACACTGTCGGTGATATTAACACTTTTACTTGCAGCTAAAACTTTTGTTACGCTTTTAACTGTGCGTTTTTTTTTTTAATTTCCTTCTATTTCTGTCTATCTGTTTTATTGTAGAACATTTTCAAATCGCTAAACTGCCAATCAGATTATTTAGAAGTTCGTGATGGCTATTGGCACAAATCTCCATTGATTGCTCGTTTTTGTGGCAAAGTTAATAGTGAAATTCTAACAACCGTTTCCAGCCGCATGTTATTGACTTATGTAAATACTCATCGCACTGAGGGTCATCGTGGTTTTAAAGCTGAATTTGAGGGTAAGAATAACAACTGCAGCAACTTAGTATTGTAGTTATACATAGAAGGATATAAACCTGTGTAATGGAAGTTTTTGTTCAATAAAGAAGTTTTGCTTTTAAGTGCATTAAAGGGGATTTTCTTTTAGAGCTTAACGTGTTGCTTTCAAGGAAATACTAAAATAAAGTGGTAGAAAGTAATGTGTGGTTGGTAAGGATTTGTCAGGATAATATAAGGGGACTCATTGTTATTTTACTTTGAACAGTTTTAAGCACTTTCCCAACATACTTTTAGTTTGTTACACTTAAAATGGCTATTTTCATCGTTAATCTGTGTGAATGAACATAAATGAAATTGTGTGTCTCCTCTCTACTGATCAAGAATTCAGTTACTATTTTTTTTAGGAAAAAAATCACCCTAAAGTAATTCACCTTCGTCAGAAGGGTATATATAAGTTAGTGGTTCAGTTTGTAATCGAGATCTAGTTAGTTTTGAAAGGAGGATGTATATACATCAAATCCGAAGAAATACACCTAGGCCTCTATCGGGCCTGTTGTGCGCTCCTTAACTAGTGCCTCAGGTGGGAATCGAACCCACCACCTCCGGTCTACCAGACTAGAACACTAACCACTATCCTACCGGAGGCCACACAATCGAGATCTAAATCATATATGTTTTCGATCATTTTTGTATTTAAAACCTTAAAAACGGTTCATAAATATTGGAGATATGATCACAATTCCGGCCCATTTTTAATACCAAACGATCAACTGGTCCATGATCAATTGAAAATATATTGAGAAAATAACTTCTTTAATATTTTATCGAGCCAACAACAGATATATAACTTTCGAGAATTTTTCTATTTAAAACCGTAAAAACGATCAATAAATATCGGAGATATGAGTATAATACTAGATGATTTTGAATAGATCTGCAAGCAAATATTTGGAATTTTTATTGAAAATCGGTTAAATAGTGATATTGTTCCAAAAGGGTCAAAAAGTTGGTCGAAGTTACAGAAAGTCGCAAATTTAGTTCATTTAAGAAAAGGATAACAAAAGGTACAAGTAGCTTGAAAAATTGAAATTGATTCAGACTTTGTCGGTACTGAAAATGCTAATATCATTGAAAGTATCGAAACAGCACAAATCTATATCTCGGTGGTCTTCCGTTAATCAAGAATTCGACCTGTCGGAGACCAAAAAGAATCTCTTGGTATTTTTTCTATAAATTAATGACTTGACTTGGCATATCTGTCAGTATTACAACTTAGTAACTTGAATCCAACTATATTTTTTAGTATTCCTCTACTGATCAAGTATTTAATCTTTTAGAGATGAATGGATTCATGCCCGATTGATTAAGGGATTTTAGTTCTGTGAGATATTTGATCACATCTTTAAAGGAACTATTACGATTTTCATTAGGACCCAAGAATATCTCTCTGTCTTTTCTGTATCGATTGACTGAAGCTTGTCCAATCTGATGGAAGATTTTACATTCATGTGTGATTTGGTTAAGAATCCATAATGGATCTATAAGATTCTGAAACCTATCATATCCATGAAAAAAATGTATTTCATCGATCGTGATATCGTTCATAGATCATTGGTCCCACAAAGAGTATCAAGTTTAATATTCTAAATAAACTAACATCGGTCGAGAGTAATGAAGGTTCTAGAGTTTTCTTAAAAGTTTCAAGAACTAAGTTTTGATTTTAAAAAACAACTATTAGAACTCAAATTTTTATTGAAAGTTATCAACATATCTATATATTTTATCATCTCTTTTCAGTTGTTTGTGGTGGAGAACTTTCTATAGATGATAACGAGGGACGTTTAGAGTCACCTAACTACCCTTTAGATTATCTACCCAATAAGGAGTGTGTATGGAAAATAACAGTGCCCAAGGGTTATCAGGTGGCCTTAAAATTCCAGTCCTTTGAAGTAGAAAATCATGATAGTTGTGTATATGACTTTGTGGAAGTAAGAGACGGACCCACACAAGAATCACCCTTAATAGGAGTATTTTGTGGTTACAAGCCACCACCCAATATGAAGTAAGTAAAACAACTAAATAATTAATCTTAATCCTAAACAAAAACTAACACTCATCTTATCTAATAATTGCTAGATCCACCGGTGACACCATGTATGTTAAATTTGTTTCCGATACCTCAGTACAAAAGCCCGGCTTCTCGGCCACTTTCATGAAGGAGGTGGATGAGTGTGAAACCCAAAATCATGGATGTGAACATGAGTGTATTAATACTTTGGGTGGCTATGAATGCAGCTGTCATATTGGCTACGAACTGCACAGTGATAAGAAACATTGTGAGGATGCCTGTGGTGGAGTTATAGAATATCCCAATGGCACCATTACCTCACCCTCCTTCCCTGATACCTATCCCGTGTTAAAGGATTGTATATGGGAAATTATAGCTCAGCCGAAACATAAAATCTCTTTAAATTTCACCCATTTCGATTTGGAAGGTGCCACTCACCATCAGTCGGAATGTGGTTATGACAAAGTGACCATTTATTCGAAAATGAGTGAGAATCGTTTGAAGAAGATAGGCACTTATTGTGGCAGTTCAATACCACCCACTGCAACTTCGGAAGGTAATGCTTTGCGTGTGGAATTCCATTCGGATAAGTCTATACAGAGATCTGGTTTTGCGGCTGTTTTCTTTACCGATATCGATGAATGTTCTATTAATAATGGTGGTTGTCAACATGAATGCCGTAATACAATTGGCTCGTATATATGTTCTTGCCACAATGGTTATTCGTTGCATGAAAATGGTCACGACTGTAAGGAGGGAGAGTGTAAACATGAAATTTCTGCTCCATTTGGCACTATTTACAGTCCCAATTATCCCGATTTGTATCCACCTAATGCTGATTGTGTCTGGCATTTCTCGACTACTCCGGGTCATCGTATCAAGTTGATTTTCAATGAGTTTAAAGTGGAATCACATCAGGTAAGGGATTTGGAAAAAACTTTTTAATTGATATTTTTTTAAACACCTTCGATCTTTCGAAAAGATTTGAAATCATTTCAAGTATTAAGATTTTTTATGATTCTTGATCGAATGTAAATGAAAGTCAAGAGCGTTGGGAAAATACATTATTGAAAAATCAGTTGGAACTTGAAACTTTTTATTGAAAAAAGTTTTATATGTTTTTATCTTTCCAGGAATGTTCCTACGACAATGTTGCCATCTACGACGGTGATTCTGAGAGTAGTTCCCTCTTGGGTCGTTTCTGTGGAGAAAAAATACCCTATCCTATATCTTCATCGACAAATCAACTTTATATGGTTCTCAAGACAGACAAGAATAAACAACACAGTGGTTTTACAGCCGTACATTCGACATGTAAGTTGCAATTTTAAATTTATATATTACTTGTTTGTGTCTTTGTTAATTTCAATTCCAACACCTAAGCAATTATGCGATATGTAGCACTGAAGATATGTTTAATTGTTAAAAGTAAAAATTTTACCAGAGATGGCACCACATATCATATAATCAAGATATTTTCTTGTTTCTTTAAATATCATTTCAAAATTTTAAATTTCATTCTGGCTCCTCTTCCAGCTTGCGGCGGCTATTTAAGGGCCACAAGTCAAGTGCAACAATTCTACTCACACTCACGTTTCGGCAACCATAACTATGATATTAATATGGATTGTGAATGGACAATACAAGCGCCTCCCAGCAGCAATGTACAACTGATATTCCTAACCTTCGATTTGGAGAATAGTGAAAATTGTACCTACGATTATGTGCAAGTATTTTCGGGCATGGAGGATACCAGTGGACCCATGTATGGACAATATTGTGGAAATATAGTAAGTTCAAAAGCTTTTAAACTCTATATACAAAAACTAATTGTTTTCGATTTGTATTGTTACAGATACCTCAGGACATTATCTCTCTAACGGACTCTTTGCTGGTGCGTTTCAAAACCGATAGCACTATTGTCATGAAAGGTTTCTCTGCCTCTTATGTGGCTGTGGATCCTTTCGAAAATAGTGATGAAGATCCTACATCTTATAGTTCAGAAATGGTAACACCATTTCCAGGTTCCTTAAAATCGATATACAAGGAAGATGAATCCCAGGAGACCGATGATTATAATGATTTCAATGAAAATCAATTAGTTATTAATAGTCCATATTATACTCGCAATCGATATCAAAATAGATACTAAAACTCCAAAGTAACAAAGATTTTTTCTTTAAATTTACACTTAGAGAAAATTAAAAAAAAGAAAACACGTAAACCAAATAACAATTTGACAATATAATTGACTTTTTAAAAAAAACAAATATTTTTCTGTTTAAAAATTTATAACATAAAAAAATTAACATACGTACATATGTATGTATATGTAGTTTATATATCATTATTAAACACTTAAGCATATCAGAATAAAAACTTTCAGTAAGACTAACTGGGCAAACAGATGTTAAAACAAGGGTCTTGGTATAAAACTACGATCTGGGTTTAATGTAAAATTATTTTGGAAAATCTGTTGCTAATACGAGTTTATTTACGAATATGTAACTATTAAATACGATTTACTTAATGACAAAAATAAGAAACTTTTTTATTTTTACTTTAGTTTAACTAACTAGTCTTACTAACTCAAGCTCCGGTTATAGTTTATCGGTTAAATATTTTTTACCATAAAATATAACCAGTTATGAAGTAAATAGGACTTAGTTCGGTTTATTATTTTAAGTTTTAGATAATAATTTTTTTAATATATTTAACTAAATAATTGTAAAGTAGTTATAGACTGAGAAAATACACACACGAACAAAATATATAATAAATTAAAAAAAAAAACTATTGAGTCGTTATTTTGAAATATTATTTAAAAAAATTTAATATACGTAAATTTTATAAAAATATGATTATCATCAGCTGATTCTGGGACGACTGCAAATATAAACCCTTTAAATGACAACATAGTGCTGCTATCATTACTTCCAGAAATCCTTTTTGCTATATTGTTATGATTCCAAAGAGCTTTCAGTATAAATTAAGATTTTTTAATGAAAACTTGAGACTTCGTTTTTTTTTCTATATCTAAAGAATTTTTAAAGTGATTTACAGGAACCAGTTCTTTCGTTTGTTTAAGGAATCGCTATGATTCGCTAAAGAATCGAAAATAACATAAACTAATGGCGGCTAAATGAATTCAAAAGCCTAAAACTATTGAATAGATGTAAGATCTTGTAAAGGATTAAGACACATTCTTAAACATTTTTAATAATAAATAATCTTACGATCAAAATAATTCAAGGATTGGAAATAAAATTAAAATTTTAATTAAACCGATTTTCATCTACCACAACATATCTGATTATATATTATAGCTGTTATAATATTAAACCCAATCCTAAACATATGATATTCTCAGTGTAGTTTTTTTTTCTAAATTTTATCCTTAATAAGAATTTTTGAAAACAATAAAATGTTTAAAACAGAATATTTTGTAAGTACGTGTGTCCATGTGCAATAATAGAATTTATTTATGTCTGATTTTATTTCCTCTCTTCCGGAAAGAAAACAATCAAACTCAGAATTCTAAAAATTATTTATTACACAAGAAAAATAAAACAAAATTAAAAAAACTTTATAACCAAAAAATTAAAACAAAAAAAAAAAAACATTTTATGAATTGAAAATGAAAACAATAATTAGTTTTTAAGGATATAAAAAAAATCAAACAAACAAAAACCAAGAAAAATCTCTATAACTCTAAACTCTCTCTATTAAAGATAGATTTTATTTTCGACAAAAAATATTAAAAACGATTTTGCATTTAACATTTTTTTGAAACAAGAAAAAAATATATATAAAAACCACAAAAAAGGAAAACATGTTATTATTATACATAAATATTTTTAACTTAGATTAAATTAAAAGAAACAAAAATTAAACTACCTAGAAGAAATAATAAAAAAAAAAAAAACGATAAAACATAAATATTTACACAAAAACATTACGTTTTCTTTTAGTTTAAACAAAATAATAACTACATAAATGTTACAAATAAAAAAAAAAGTAAAAAATATAACTCTAGTTTTTAGTTTTAAATAAATATTTAAATAAAACAATAAAAATATTTCAAATAAATTAGAACATTTTTCCAATTAAACGTATAAAGAAATAAAATTGTTTTATTGTTAACTGGGTGGAGACTTTTCGGTCACTAATATTTGTAACAGGACGGTTACCGATCCTTAAATAACAATGAAATCGAAGAATGCAAAAATTCCCTCATATTTTCAAAAACAAGAATAGTTTAGTTGTAGTACAGTTTTAGTTCAGATCAATTTAAGTTCTAGTTTAATTCTAGTTCAGTTCTAGTTCAGTTCTAGTTCAGTTCTAGTTCAGTTCTAGTTCAGTTCTAGTTCAGTTCTAGTTCAGTTCTAGTTCAGTTCTAGTTCAGTTCTAGTTCAGTTCTAGTTCAGTTCTAGTTCAGTTCTAGTTCAGTTCTAGTTCAGTTCTAGTTCAGTTCTAGTTCAGTTCTAGTTCAGTTCTAGTTCAGTTCTAGTTCAGTTCTAGTTCAGTTCTAGTTCAGTTCTAGTTCAGTTCTAGTTCAGTTCTAGTTCAGTTCTAGTTCAGTTCTAGTTCAGTTCTAGTTCAGTTCTAGTTCAGTTCTAGTTCAGTTCTAGTTCAGTTCTAGTTCAGTTCTAGTTCAGTTCTAGTTCAGTTCTAGTTGAGTTCTAGTTCAGTTCTAGTTTAGTTCTAGTTCAGTTCTAGTTCAGTTCTAGTTCAGTTCTAGTTCAGTTCTAGTTCAGTTCTAGTTCAGTTCTAGTTCAGTTCTAGTTCAGTTCTAGTTCAGTTCTAGTTCAGTTCTAGTTCAGTTCAGTTCTAGTTCAGTTCTAGTTCAATTCTAGTTCAGTTCTAGTTCAGTTCTAGTTCAGTTCTAGTTCAGTTCTAGTTCAGTTCTAGTTCAGTTCTGCTTCAGTGATTTATCGAAAACTTCAACTAAAAATATTCTGTGAATAAATGTTTACAAAGAAGAAACTCAAGTGTTCTTCATAATCGCACTCCACTGTCCATAAATATTGTTTACAAATAAAGTCAAGCGGCATTTAACTCATTTGTTTAGTTTTTATAGGAGGTGTCATCAATAATTTTACAATGCGGCTGCAGCTAATGCCAGTTTAATGTTAAATTAATTATATTTTATTACAGCGCGCACACCGTAGCCATCAGCAACATCATTCTCAACATCATTATCACCATGTAACGGCAATGGCACCAAAAGTAGCAGCCACCGCTGCATCATCAATATGTATCATGTCCCATATATTCTTACCCATGCATCAAATCCATTTAGTAAAAATCGTGATTGTAACCACTACTACCTCTTTTATAATTTGATTGCCAGTTTAAAGCGCCTCTAAAGCACTAATTAGCTTAAGTATGAGTATTATGACGGCTAACGAGACTATAAGAGATGTTCTTTATGATGAGGAAGAAAAAAAATACATATTCTCGTCTACCTGTTGGCATACCTGTTCGAGAATGTTTATAGATTGTGCATGTGGTTAAAAGTTCTTCTTTTTTGGATTGTTTGTCTGCTTTAGTTTTAAGAGAGCTTCTCCCACACTATTAGGCGTATGAGTATGAGTGAGTGAATAATGAACGGGTTGCTTATGATATTGGTGATCTACTCTGCTGATCTTCTCTTTTTCTTAGTATGTATATCCGTCTGTACGGCTGTCTGTGTTCAACGAGCCTCTTTTTATGTATTTCCTATAGTTGTATGTTTTTTTCTGTTAAAGGCACGTGTTCGCTGGAAGACAAAAAAGGCTTTGAAAATGTAAACCTAATAAGTTATGATCTTATTTGAAGAACAAAAAAATGAAGGAGAGGAAGCAATATTGAGAAAATAACAATCAAAAAATTTCCATGATTCCATATAAATACACATAAAGAAATTTATAAAGATAAGATTTTTAATCGGCCTCTCTACTACGTTGATAATTTAATTGTTTACTGAATTTTTTAACAAGATCAATCAAGATCAAAATACTGTATAACTAAGATATTTGATTCTGTCTCTCAATTTAATATGTTACATTAGTTCGATGTGATAATTTTATTGCATGATCACTGGTATTATCCAATCTCATTATGGTTAAGCAAAGAGAATTTTAATTTCTTTAGTGATTTAAAATCTGAATAAAAAATTAACCTCCAATTTCTCTCAGTGCCCTTCCTTTAAAAAAATACACAACCACAAAACTTTACAATGAAACTGATCTTAAGCTGGCGCTTGCTATCCCTACTTCATACTAATACCCCAACGTTGCTACGATGACTCCTATCAAATAAAGGGACAGACGGATCTAGCTCGTAAGTAAATAACACAATGAATATTCTTTTTTTCTTTCTGTTATGCGTACAATTGAATGGTGAAAACAATTATTATTGGTTTGTTTACGATTTCTTACGTGCTGTAAATATCATAGTATATGATCGTATTACATTAAGTATGCTCGTTCTTACTACATGTTGCAACATAAACTACTCGTATAATCAAAAAAAAAAAAAATTAAAATAAAAAAACTAACAAAGCGTATCATCATAACCTTTAGGGATTTTTTGAAAAAGTTTGCTTCCAAAAACCACAACAACAGCAACAATGAGAGTAATAAAAACAACATCAAAGAAAGGTTGCTGCATGGAATTTTTTTGGATGCAAGACTTAGAGGTTTTGTTTATGAAAATAAGCCAGAATTTTGTATGGAATTTTTTTGTATGGAATTTTTTGATATAAACTCTGTACAATAGGATAATATTGAATACAGAAACACTATAGAGTAGGGATTCTTAAATTGTGATACTTTGGGCATGTCATAAAATTAATGGTAAAATTAAGGATTACATTAGTGAATAACATCACAAATATTTCGGGACGTATTGAGAGCGAAACATAAATAGTGAAAATGTTTAAAAATATATTGCTTTAAAAACATCGATTAGGTCTAGACAAAAATCTTCCAAATCTGGCGAAATAATAAATATTCCAAAACTGAAACACTGAGTAAAAACACGAGGTGTCAATACGAGAATTTTAATTTCTTTAGTGATTTAAAATCTGAATAAAAAATTAACCTCCAATTTCTCTCAGTGCCTTTCCTTTAAAAAAATACACAACCACAAAACTTTACAATGAAACTTATCTTAAGCTGGCGCTTGCTATCCCTACTTCATACTAATACCCCAACGTTGATACGATGACTCCTATCAAATAAAGGGACAGACGGATCTAGCTCGTAAGTAAATAACACAATGAATATTCTTTTTTTCTTTCTGTTATGCGTATAATTGAATGGTGAAAACAATTATTATTGGTCAAAAAGCCAACACGGTTGCCTACTAACCTGTCGTTAGATGTTTGGGATAAAATAGTCAAATGGATATATACAGCTATAGTACGTCCTATTCTTATAAATATACATGTATCTCTTGTATGGTGGACTTCAACTATGAAAAAGTTTGTTATATATCAGCAATACAGAGTTCAGAGATCAGCACGCATTGGAATGACGGATTCTGAGAACTAGTCATTCAAAAGCTCTGAATTCTATATTCCACGTCCTAGCTTAGATCTGCATATAATGGCCATATCTGTGTGCAGCGCAGGGAGGCTTAACTAATCCGGAAGTTGGATATCAAGAACATATGGACATACTAAGTCTATTACCTACCACCAGAATCTTTACTGATGGCTCAAAAATTAACTGCGGTGTTGTTTCCGGCGTCTCCTGTGATTAAGCTGTCTTCCAACAACTGTAGTGTTTTCGAGGCTGAAATATTTCCGATAATGTCAGCCTGCAGGGCACTATATGATCTCAATATTCGTAGAAACATAGGAATATTTGTCGATAGTCAAGCAGCACTTATTTTCCTAAACTTTTATACTACCACTTCCCTATTAGTCGGACCATGCTGGAAATATCTGCCAAGGCTGGGTCTCTTGTCTGACATTAGCCCTGTTTGGATCCATGAGGGACTATTATGGAAATGAAGAGGCAGATGAGCTTGCCAGAACGGGATCTGATATTGATATCTACAACGCAGTTTCAGTAGCAGTCCCGTTAGGTTTTACCAAATCAGTATCCCCAGGTTCTTACTTCAAAAAGTTGAAATTAGATGGAAAGAGGGCCAAGCTATTGTGTTCTTTCTTCAACGTTGTAAACTGAAATAGGCGGGATATATTAAGGTTGTTAGCAGTAATAACTGGACACTGGGTATTAGAAAGATATGCAAGTCGAATTGGAATCTCCTTCAATGAATACTGTCGCTGTTGCAAAGACAGGGAAAAGGAAGAAACGGGTTTCTATCTTCTATGTTAATATCCTGCTCTAGCCTTTAGTATAAACAAATTTCTTGGCTGTTAAAATGAAGGCTGGATCTAATACTAAACAATACTACATCTGACCAGTAGAGTGTTCCAAGCAAAACGCGTAGTGAACTAAAACGGTAACCAACTAAACGCCTGCTCTTTGAGGCAGTAAAACCTTCCCCGAACTTTTTGAATATTGATAACAATCTGTAAAAAATAGATGGAATAACCTATGTTATTAGCAATAATAACAGAATACTGGGTCTTAGATACATATGTTAGTCGTCTTGGGCTCCTCTTCAATGAATACTGCCACAGTTGCAAAGACAGGGAAAGGAAGATATATGAATACTCTGCTCTAGCCTTTTGAAGAACAATTTTTTTGTTACTTCATATCCAATATTGGTCTAAACTTAATGACATTTTAAAATTTCTCACGGCTACAGGCTGGATCTAATACTACACAATACAGCAACTCACGAGTGGAGTGGTCCTGTCAAAACGAAGTCCCTTCGACTTTACTTGATTGTTCACGCTTAGTGAACTAACACGATAACCAACCAACCGCCTGCTCCTGTAGGCAGTAACAATCTGCAAATGGGAGTAGTGCTAATTGTGTCAATTTCAACGCTTATTCCCGACACTCGGAAGCTATATACATACATGCATATGTATCTTTCATAAAGATCTCATTCGTGGACTATTGAACAGATTATTTCACAACATAAACAGGGAAATACCATTCTTCAGCAGTATAGTATGTGTGCGGAATTAGCTTCCTTAGCTGAAACTGGACAGGGTAAGTTTAGATGGAAAAGTAAACTACATTACGCTACTTTCCTAGTTCCAATAGAATTCACTGCATGAGAAGGTGTCATTCTTGAGATATAAAATTATGGAGTCACTTGTATATCGTAATTCGAAAACGCAAGAAGAAAAGTCGCTGGATCAACATTTTAGAACTCCAATAATGCAGTTTTTCAATTTTTTCCCAATTTGTAAGAGCCACGCGATGCAGAAGGACAATTCATATTCTTGGGTTAGGCCAGAATTTTTTAGGAATGATCGCTGTAAAAGAACCCGCATGTAGCTGGCGATAATTCTCGAGTTCTGAAGTTATGTCTTTAGATAATGGGAGTTCCTGCGTTGACAAAGAGAAAGATTGGGGGTTGTCATAGAATTCAATAATTGTCGAAATTGGATTTGAAAGTGGCAAAAAAACATGATCAGATTTAATGAAATATAATATTATCTTTGTTGTGTTCGATCTAGAATATGAATCATTATCTAGCGAAAAATAGAAAACATACGATTTTATGATGACCTACAAGAGTAGTAGCTCGGAAGCGAAACGTTCGAACTTATCCGTCATTTCATCATGAGTACTCACGATGCCCTTAGAAGTTTCAGCATTCTGAACCAAAGGCGAATGATGTACTATTTTAGGCAATCTAGTTCCATATTTTCCCAAATGTCCTGCCAACTTCACATGATAGCTTGTATATTAAAAATATTTAAGAATCTCTGGAATTCGAATCCAAAAACACCACAATGATGATCCTCTTTAAACAAGAACTGATACTTTGGTGTATTTGATATGAAGAAAACAAATACGAAGGTGTGTGACGATGAGGTATGTACGACGACTAACTACAAAAGTATCTGTGCATAAAGGGGATCTTTGTGTGATTATGTGTGTGTGTGTAAGAAGAGCTCGCGATCTTGTATAGATTATATTCGTATTAATAAGTAAGATACTCGTACCCTTAACCGAAAAATATGTGTATTTGCTGCTAAAGAGGCTGGTTTGCTGATGTTAACGTACGTACGGCTTATCCCAACATTTATGAATCCATGTGGTTGTCCGTCCAACCGCCTAATGATCTTTAAGTGTTAGTGTGTGCTTATGTTGAGTGAAGATGCCTTTTTATGATTGTTAAGATTTCGGTAGAATATTTTTATGCGAGTGTGTGTGTGTGTGTCTGAACTTATTTGTTTGTTTGCTTTATATTTTTACCTTTTTACCTTTTGTTAGTTTTTATGTTTTTTCGGTTAAAGATACAAATTTCTATATTATGAGCATGTTGCGTGTGTTATACGATCAGTAAGAGATTTCTATTCAAAGAGTGAAGTTAAAAGACAAAAATACCGAAAGAACAAAAAATTATTTTTTAAATATAAAATTGAATAATATTTATTTAAGATAAATTTAAGAATTTATTGCAACAACAGTAACGATAAAAACGTTTTAAACAAACATAAATAAAAATATTTAAATTTAAGTGTTTTTGGTGTTATTTGCTTAAAAGTGTTAAAGTAAAAACAAAATATGTTATTTTGTAAAATGATCTATGTATTTTTATGTGGTTTTCTACTACTACCAACAAATGTGAAAGGCTTTAATTTTGGTTTTCCTTCAAAAAGTTTTATGAAAATGCCCGAGGATCTGCAAGTAGATCCCGATGGTTATTTTGATATTATAGAAAAACCTGAACAATTTATACAGATAGATAAGCAAATTGTAAGTTTTAAAAGATATTTACTTATTTAACAAATTGGAAACGTAATTAATTGTTAATTTTTTTTCACTTTTAAAGGCTCCCAATACTAAAGGAAACGTAGCTGGCAAATCACCTGCCCATGTTCAACATTTGCTTGAATTGGCGGCTGCAGAAGCCGACAAAGAAGCTTCGTTTTCCTCTAAAAAGGCACGCAAAAAATCACAAAATCATTTGCCAGCCTTTATGTTCAATAGCGATGTCTCAAAAATACAATCTAATGCCAAGAATATTGAACATGATACACATCACAATTTCTTTTATGAACGCAACATCATAGTGGAACCCAGCGTGCCACCAGAGAAACTTCTAACGGAGAAAAAAGATAAAGGTGATGACTCGCAAGGCATACCCAAAGAGAAACTAAGACAAATGACATTGAAAAGGTAAGTTAAAAAATATTGTATATTAGAGATATGTTATAGAAAGGAAAAGAAATCTTAGAATTAAATGGAATGTTAACCAGCAGGTGTTTTGTTTTAGACAATCTTCGTAACTACAGTTCTCCAAAAACAAACAACTCTTAATGAAGTGATAAATTGCTCATCATTATAAAAAGTTAGAACTCATATTTTAAATCATCCAGTTTGTAGTCTTCTCTTATTAATTGCTCTTTATTAAATATTTATATTCCTTACTCTCTTTGATTTCCTTTTTTTAATGCTCTTTTAATTTCCTTGATCTTTCATTCACTTTACAATTAAGAGCATTTAACACAACCACCCCTTAAACGCGTGTTATTATTTCGCCCTTAAAACACTTCAAGAGCTCAAGTGTTTCTACCTGTAAGTCGTCACAGCACGATCATTTCAAGTGTTTTATGACACACACTCTTATACAAATTAACAACGGTCATAAACTGCAACACACACACAAATTCGCAAACACAAACACTTTTCTTTTCAATTCAATTAACAAGGATTTCCAGTAGGGTTTTTCCCTTAAATATCCAGTCATTATGAATGTTTAATATATTTCTTAGAATTTCCACACACACACAGCAAAATTCTTTGACTATTGTTTGTGGCAATTCCCTGGAAAATCCCATAGAATTTTCAATTGAGATTAACAATTTATACCTGCTGAGTGATTTCAAGTACCTGGTGGATTTAAAACCTATTAAAAATATATCTACCAGAAGTGATCTATAGTATGTTAAAGATTTGTAATGCTCTTTGTTTTGTTGTATATTTACAGGCGTTTGTTTAAGCAGCTCAAGGGTCGTAAGGTGCGTGGACCCAAGAGACACAAGAAGCGTAGTAATGCGCAAAAACACAAGAAGACAAAATTGCAAAACAGGTAAACCCAGTAATTTTAAGTGGAAGTAATTTATTAATTGTGTTCTAATTATAAAATAGTGTATTTTGAGAAGTTAATTTAGGAATAAAAGTTAAATTTTAGGTATTAAAGTAAAATTAATTCAAAATTAATTAAAATAAGTTATTGGATTTCAATTCAAAATCAAATTCCTTATTCCTCAAATTAATTATTAATCAGTTTGAATTGGTCCTTCGAACCCAAGATAATTTCCGTTTAACACAATATTTTTGATACGTACCAGATATGGTAAAAAGAAAATGTTCAGTTTCAGATGATTTGTTCTTCTTAATCAGATGGCAATAGCTTCCGTTTTAAATTGAACATTTGACACTCATTCCTTATTTTTTCAAATTCACCATATTTTTGTATAGTTTTTCTTTTCTGAACTTATTTAAAGTAGATTACATCTTTACGTCATCAGGGGGATCTGATTTAGTAATTTGGGTGGATTTTTTATTTTGTTTATATTATCATAAGTTCGCCAGATAATTGCTCTGCGCTGCCAAGTAAACCGATTTACTATTTCAAAAATTATCTACCCAACGAACGTTAGAAGATAGAATATTTTAAACTCTCCCCAATTATTAAGAAACAAAAATATTTTGAAAAGTTTTTAAGAAAAGAATCACCTCCTCAGAAAATAATCACCTCCACCTGAGCCTCCTCTTTCTGGTTGCCACAGATCTAGACCAGGCTGAGAGAGAGTGTTTGTTACTTATAGGAGAGTGAGCTTACGTAAACAAGGGAAATTATAGAGAACAATTTGTCTATCTCTGATCTAGACCCTGAAATATAGTTAGTTTGAAAATGTTACATTAAATCCTAAGAAATACTCCTAGGACTCCATCGGGCCTGTTGTGCGCCGCTCCGGTCTGATAGACTTAAACACTAGCTATTAACCTTCCGGAGGACCCAGAAACATACTTTTCAATTATTCTTATCTTCAGTATGAAAAAGTTTCATCAGTTCGAACTATTTATCATTAATTAAATATTTTGCTACAATAATGCTAAAGACCTTGACCTTGATGATCTTCTATAGTTAGTTAGTTTGAAAGGAGAATGTATATACATCAAATCCGAAGAAATACACCTAGACCTCTATCGGGCCTGTTGTGCGCTCCTTAACCAGTGCCCCAGGTGGGAATCGAACCCACCACCTCCGGTATACCAGACTAGAACACTAATCACCAACCTATCGGAGGCCTATTGTTTTTGAAAAAAGTTTCGGTTTTAAAAAAATTCAGAAAAATTCTATTCATATATTCTTTATAAAAAACCTGCAGAACCGGCTAAATAGAGAAGGTCTTGGCCTGTTGAGCGTCGCTCCGGTCTGATAAACTTAAACACTAACTACTAACCTAACGCAGGACCCAGAAACATACTTTTCAATTATTCTTATCTTCAGTATGAAAGTACGATCTGTTCGAAATATTAATCATTAATTAGATATTTTGCTCTAATAATGCTAAAGTCCTTGACGATCTTCTATAGTTTTTGAAAAAATTTTCGTTTTCAATAAAATTTTATTCATATATTCTTTATGAACTCCTAAAATTTGAAACTACAAACTAAATTGGTCGTCGGTTAAATTGGGGAGTTCTTGGACCTCTTGCGCTCATTGGAATGAGCTTTTGACAATAAACTCAAATAAAAACTCACTCAAAACAGAAAAAAATACAAATTCTATCTATAACCGAAATATTAAAGGTCAAAGGTCACAAATGAATTTTTTTTGGAAACAATTGAATTATAAACCTAAAGAATCAAATTTCCTATATTTTATAGACATTTTCGAGTTATAGTCCATTTATTTTTTTTTAATTTTCAAAATATTATAAACTAATAAAGTTGTTGTGATCATCTTTTCCAGCAATTAGTAAAAGTCGAATAAACAATTTTTAACGTACCTGGGTCACTACCTTTAGAGACTTTTGAATAACAATATTTCGGGTGGCGGACACTTGACTTTTGGCAACTTATTTAGAACATAAAAAGGATATCGAAAACAATTTTGATCTTTATATAATCTATATGATATAAAATTTGTTCCTAAAACTTGACATATAAACATATTACTAAGACCTCAAAAGTTTCTTAATTTAAAATTAATAATATAAAGTCTTTATTTAAATAACATAATTTAAGTAGTATTGTAAATTTAAAAAAAGCTCTGTAAAATTAAATAAATTTTAAAATTAAAAAAAAAAATAAATTAAAAATTTAAAATAAAAATTTCTTTATTTTTGTCTTATTTTTATCACAACTAGTGCTCCCCTACTAATGCAGCATAATGATTTAATCCTGGATGACAGCACACAAAATGATGTTATAAATCGTCCAAAACGTGCTGTAACCGCTAAAAAAGAAAGAATCTGGGATTATGGTGTTATACCCTATGAAATTGATCATATTTTTAGTGGAGCACACAAGGCACTCTTCAAGCAGGCCATGAGACATTGGGAAAATTTTACTTGTATTAAGTTTGTGGAAAGAGATCCCAAAGTGCATCCAAATTATATATATTTTACCATTAAAAATTGTGGGTAAGTAAAGAGTTAAATTAAAGCTTCTTAATAGAGAAATTAACTTTTAAATTTTCCTTAACAGCTGCTGTTCTTTTGTGGGTAAACGTGGCAATGGCCGCCAAGCTATTTCTATAGGACGTAATTGTGAAAAATTTGGCATTGTGGTGCATGAACTGGGTCATGTGGTGGGCTTTTGGCATGAACACACACGCACAGATCGTGATCAACATATTATCATTAATAAGGCGAATATAATGAAGGGTCAGGAATATAATTTTGATGTTTTATCACCCGAAGATGTGGATTCATTGGGTTTACCCTATGATTACAATTCGATAATGCACTATGCTCGCAATACTTTTTCGAAAAGTGTTTATCTCGATACTATACAACCTTTGGGTGTGCGTGAACATGAAAAGATAGAAATTGGCCAACGTATTAAGTTGAGTAAGGGTGATATAGCTCAGGCCAATTTACTGTATAAATGTGCCACTTGTGGCCGCACTTTTCAACAGAATGCGGGTCAAATTGTTGCACCTCATTATAGTTATAAGGGAGGCAGTGGTAATGATCTAAATGATGAGGTCGAGGGTAGTGGCAGTGATGGTGATTATGATTTTAATGGAGATTTCGATAAATCTTTGGAATCTTGTGAATGGCGTATAACGGCTACGAATGGTGAGAGGATTATATTGCAGTTGCATCAAGTGGTAAGTTGTTTTTATTTTTTTGTTTTTGTATTTTGAAATCAGTACAAATTTCAATTGAAGTCATATTCTTGGAAGGAGAATTTTAACTTAACTCTTTTGTATTAAAAATATTTTTACTTTTCATCAATTAATTAGTTGATAGATAAGAAAAGTACTTTTTTTTTGTTTTTTGTCTTCTTTTACGTTTTTTGGAGCTTTTATAAGTACTAAGTTTTTGATTTTAAAGAATCAAAATAATAACCCTTATATCCTTAAAAACGCTTAATCATTCTATGACAAAAAGGAAAAAGTACCAAAAAATAGTTTTTTCCTTCTCTTCAGCAGGATGTTTAAAAGTTTTAAATTCCAATACAAAACTTTTATAAGAAACACACATTTAAAATTTCGATATTTTCAAAAGTTCTGATCTGATTTTAATAAAGAAGTGACATACAAAACAAAAACATGATTTTCATATAACTGGAGATATGTACTTTTCCCATTTTGCTCTAATAAAAAGTACGATTTACAATTGGAATGTAATATAGTTTCAACATTTTGGAGTAAATGTCATATATTATTTATTGTTGCCAAAAAGTACTTTTTTGTAAAACAAAAAGTACCAAATCAGGGATTTTCTAGCCCTATTTTTTGCAATTTAAGACCAACACCTTTCCTTTTTCCACTTCTTAAAGCGCTTTTCTTAAACAAATTACTAAAAAAGTACTTTTTGAAAACGGTGTTATTTTGAGATAATTTAGTTTTAAAATTATATTTTTATGTTTAAAAGTACTATTGATCAGAATTCTTAGCTAAAAGGTGCTTTTTGTGATGTAAAATAATAAGTACCAAAAACAACGACTTTCTAGACCTTATTATAATTTTGAAATTTAATATCATTTCATTTCCATTTTCTTAAATTTAGAAGAACTTTTTCTTAAAAAAAAAAGTAACAAAAAGTACTTTAAGGAGTATTATTGAATGAAAATAATACTTTATGCAAAGAAAATAAAAAAAATACCATAAGAAAGGAATTCTATCACTTTCGTAAAATTTTATTTGTATAGCTTTTGGAATACTTTCTAAGAAATAAAAGCCTAAAATTTGGCATTAATTTCCAAAAAAGTACTTTTTTAAGTTTTAATTAATTAAAGTACTTTTTTGAAGAAACTACTTTATATCGAATCAAAAAAAAAAAAAAACTACTATAATATGTCCTAACTACCCTTTTTGAAGTTTAAAATACTAATAGTGAAATTTTATATCTCCTTAATATTTTCAATTATGTTTTTAAAAAAGTACTTTTTGGAAAAAAACTTTAAAAAAACAAAAATAAATTTACATTTAAAAGTTTGCTACAAAAACCATTAATATTTTAAAATTGTTGGGGGTACGTACATATTGTTCAAATATTTAGGAAAAAAGTGTTGAAATTGCAAGAATATTGTTAAGTTAGAATGAAAACATGCTAAGTCTAATTTTAGCAAAAATTGCCATGTTAAGGAAAATTAATAGAATTGACAATTAAATAGTTTAATTTAATTTTATTAAATTTATTATTAATAGATTATAGTGAAAATATGTTCTAACCATTTTCTAAATAATAAGTTTTATTAGTTATCAATAGAAATTAAACATTTTCTAAACCAATTAATGTAAAATTGTATTCTTTCAGAACCTCTTCCTTTCCCCCGACTGTACCGATGATTATGTGGAAATACGTGATGGTTATTGGCATAAATCACCCGTTATACAACGTTTATGTGGGAATCATACATCTGTAACTATAAAAAGTGACTCCAGTCGTATGCTGATTAGTTATGTTAATCGGCGTAGTATTAAAGGTTTTCGCGGTTTTATAGCTGATTTTGAGGGTAAGTGATTTTAGTTTTTTCATTGTAATAAACAAATGACAAATTTATGGCAAACCACAAACCAAAAATATCATACGATAAAAATCGGTTTATGTTTAGGAAAAGGGTAAACAGGTGGTGTTTATGGTCCTTCTAACAAAAGTACTACAAACAAACAGCTATCGTAGGCATTTGTTCTGTGTAACATTTCTATGCGTAGCCAGTCCTATAGGAAAGAAAATTATTTAACCATTTAGTTTATAATGCATGTATTTCCTTTATTTCCTATGAATTATGTTTGTATAAGTGCTGTGTTACCAAAAAAAAAAAATGCTCTATTTGAACAAAAAACTTTGTTTGCTGCAAATTAGTTGCGGACTATTAAGCAAAAAAGTAATAATTGTTGATTTATTTACTAAACAATACTGTGTTTACAGCGGCAAACATTTTATTATTGTTTAATAAAGTTGACTGAAAAAGTTTTTTTTTTTTAAAAAAAAAGGGAGACACTTTAAGTGGATATTAAATAGCTGTTTAAGGGATTCATATTTAGAACAAATTTTCTTTAACTTAGTTTGCTGTGTTATTATTATAAACCACTTTAACTTTCTAAACTTTAAGCAATTAATCATATTTTAGACATTTTAATCAGCTGTTGTCGAAAAGAAACCTTGATATATTTAGAAACAATTAAATTTAAGCCTATTTTTAGGCTGTAAAAACTTTAAAAAGCTTTAAATATAAAACTTTTTGAAGTATTTTTTCAGATTAAAGAAAAGTTTTAATAAATTTAAATTGGTTTTTTATTATAAATATAAAATTTAAGTTATATGAAGCTGAAAAATAGGCTACAATATTTGTTAAACTTACATCCTAAAAGTATGCAACAAAATTTTGTTTGTTAAATAAGTTATTTTTTAGAATAATTGATAGAGTTTAAACAAAACTTTCTTTTAATAAATAGACGACATTCATCTTATAGATTTGAATTATAAACTTAACATTGATCTTTAACAAAATAGAAAAAAAGAAGATCTAACAACCATATAATTCTATGAGAAAATTGATTAAATCTCTCTCTAAAACTTTCGACATCCCAGATATATTATATGCCCATATCTCTGCCTTAATGTATTAGATCCATTTTCGATCAATTAATCAACTACGAAAGAGAAACCAAGACTGTCTCAGTTATTGATGTTTGACGTTTGTCTTTTAAAATAATATTCTCAAAATCCCCAAATATCTTTTGAACTTGCATTAATATATCAGACAAACCAAAACCGAAACCCAACACTACCTCAGTTTCTAAAGTTTGATCGTTTGTTTTTAAAACAAACTTTTCGAAAATTGGTTAATTCTTTCTTTAAAACTTTCGACTTCCCAGATATCTCATAAGTCCAAATCTCTGCCTTAATGTTCAAGACCCATTTTCTAGAATTTTATTAAGATAGTCAATAGAGATATAAAGAGAACCCGAGACTATCTCAGTTTGACCGTTTGTCTTTTAAAATAATAATCGAAAGGCCCAAATAGGAAAGAAAATTACATTAATATATCAGACAAATATTCGAGAATATTTCTATTGAAAATCAACTAAATCGAGCCAAAAATGGCTGAGAAATAAACCCAAAACCAATACTACCTCTGTATTTTTGTTAAAATAATCTTCCCGAAACCCCAGATATCTTTCAGATATCAAAAAAAAAACTATAAAGCATTCTTCTATTGAAAATCAACAAAATCAAGCCAAAAATTGCTGAAATATGATAAAATTGTTAAATAAAGTAGTAGATCAAGAGATCATATTTGGGACTAAAAATTGGTACCAAGTTTTTCCTAATTTCCTGAAAATATTGTATTCCTGTTTTATAAAATATATTAACCAAAAACCTTATTTAATTTTTTCCTTTAGTGGTCTGTGGTGGTGATATATTTCTAACCGAAGATCGGCGCATAGACTCACCCAACTATCCTCTAGAGTACTTTCCCGATAAAGAGTGTATTTGGCGTATAACCGTACCCGATAATCATCAAGTGGCCTTAAAGTTTCAATCATTTGAATTGGAAAATCATGATAATTGTATTTACGATTATGTAGAGATAAGAGATGGCAATAGTTCCGAGTCCAAATTAATAGGAATATTTTGTGGCTACAAATTGCCACCAAATATAAAGTAAGTTTTTATTTTTTACAATAAAACAAAACAAATTAAAAACATTTAATAATATTTTTCCTTTTTAATTTAACAGAACCAATAGCAATCAAATGTATTTGAAATTTGTATCGGATGGCTCAGTGCAAAAAGTTGGCTTTTCAGCTGTATTCATGAAGGAAGTCGATGAATGTAAATTTGCCAATCATGGCTGTGAACACGAATGTATAAATACTTTGGGGAGCTATCAGTGTGGTTGTTTTGCCGGCTATGAATTGCAGCCAAATGGCAGAACATGTGAAGGTATGTATGTGTGGTAGAAACAATATTTGAAAATGCAATATCCAAATATGCATGTATAGGTTTTCAGATAACCAGAATTTATGTTTTATATTGTAATTTTAATTTGTTTCGTTTACAGATGCTTGTGGTGGTATCATCGATGCCAGTGTGGGCAGTGGTATGGTTAACTCACCCTCTTGGCCAGATGTCTATCCCATTTCTAAGGAATGCATTTGGGAAATTGTGGCTCCCGCTAATCATGCAGTTTTTCTAAATTTTACTGCCTTCGATTTGGAGGGCACTAAGTTCCAATATACCGAATGTAATTATGATTATTTGGTGATTTATTCAAAGTTGCGGGATAATAGATTGAAGAAAATTGGTGTTTATTGTGGTCATGAAATACCTCCTATTATTAATTCGGAACAGAGTATTTTACGTTTGGAATTCTTTTCGGATAAATCGGTACAGCATACAGGATTCTCGGCGAAATTTGAAATAGGTAAGTGAAATACTTTTAAAATTTTATTTATAACTTAGTTTAGACACAAAAATGCTTGCGAAGTGACAGAATTGGCTAAATAACAATAGTTTGGTTCACCGAAGAAAGAATTTTAGTTGTCACAAACGAATTTGGGTTACACATACATACATGTCTCGATACCAGCAACAAAAATGTTCAAATGCAAAGAAAAATTCATTGAAAACAAAAACTTGATTAAAGCAATAAAATTTCTGTAATCGAAACGTTCGTTTACCACAACCAATCTGGTTTCTTTATAACAAGATCGCTTTTCTTGATTTCTAAAAATTGAAATGTAAGATACATCCACAGAGACTACAGAATTCGTTTTCTAGGTTTTCCCTGCGGAAAATATTTGTTATCGCAACTAAACTTTTTAATTGCTATTGCTTTGTTTTTAACGAGATTAAATTCTGTCAACAGAGTGCTTATTGAAGAGTTTAAAATGATTGACTGACAACAATATGTATTGGTTAGCTCGAGCAAAGTGTTCTTTATGAAATCATAAAATATAATGATCATTAACTTAACAACGTTTCGGTTTAAACTCTCCCCCCAAAACATATTGAAAAAAACACACAAATTCTATAACAAGATCAAACAACTAACAATCCCTTCCTTTTCCCTTTCTTTCAGATACCGACGAGTGCAGCATCAACAATGGGGGCTGTCAACATCATTGTCGCAATACTTTCGGTTCGTACATTTGTAGTTGTCGTAACGGTTATAGCCTACATGAAAATCGTCATAATTGTACCGAAACCAAGTGTAAATTTGAAATAACCAATCCTTACGGGGTAATCTCCAGTCCCAGATATCCAGAGGATTATCCTCGTAATATCTATTGTTATTGGCATTTTCATACCGTCTTGGGTCATCGGGTCCAATTGACATTCCATGAATTTCAATTGGAAAATCATCAAGAATGTATATATGATTTTGTGGCCATACATGATGGTAAATCGGAAAATAGTTCGACCTTAGGTATATATTGTGGAGGTAGGGAACCGTATGCTGTGGTGGCTTCCTCCAATGATATGTTTATGGTTTTGAAAACGGATGCAGGTTTACAGCGTAAAGGTTTCTTTGCCACCTATTCAACGGGTAAGTTTTTGAGCAAAAACTATCAACAAATCATTTCTTATAAATATATATTTTTTCTTCTCTTTTTTCAGAATGTGGTGGCTATTTAAGGGCCACAAATCACTCTCAAATATTCTATTCACATCCGCGTTATGGTTCAAGACCTTATAAACGTAATATGTATTGTAATTGGCGCATACAATCGGATCCGGAGAGTAGTGTTAAAATTAAATTTTTACACTTTGAAATTGAATATTCAGAGAGATGTGATTATGATTCTTTGGAAATATCGGAGGAACAAAGTTTTCAGCGTAATACCAATCATGGCAAATACTGTGGCAATAGGGTAAGTTTTAACTTTAAAAAATATACATATATATTTAAATCTCTTACTTAATTTTATCTCTTTTCAGAAACCTCCTGTTATAGTGTCCTATTCCGATACCATTTTAATACGTTTTCAATCGGATGAGAGCACCTCCCTTAAAGGTTTTGCCATCTCTTTCATGGCCGTTGAACCCCCCGATGATGATAATGGTGATGATTTTATGTCGGTTACTCCTTTTCCCGGTTACATGAAATCGGTGTATTATTCCTCCGAGTCTCAAAGTTCCGAGGAAGAAGATGATGATCACTACAAAGACAATAGAGGTTATACACCCTATCGAACAGCCAGTCAACGTTTTCGTTTAAATTAATTTGTATTTCTTTGTAAAATTTTTTTTGTTTAAGTTTAATTTATACAAATTGCAGGTTTTAGTTTGTAAACTATATAAGTTAGGGGCGGGGAGGAGAGGAGTTAGCATGGTTAAGTGCCAGTTCATACAAATTTTGTTAGTTTTTTGTTCTCTAATTGATATTAAATGCTTTAGATAGTTGTTGAATTTTATTTTATATTATATTATTGTCTGTGTATGTATTATTTGCATTTTATTGTAAATATTTATTTTAAGTTTTTTTTTTTATTATTGCTCGGTAAGATAATAGATTTTTTGTAGTTTTATGTGTATGTTTTTGTATGTAGATATTGTTTAATAAAATTTAGTTGTAATTTAAATAAAATGAAATATTTACGTGTAAAAAAAAGATTTTAATTTCTTTTTTTTTGGTAAATAACTGGGGGTAAATTAAAAACATTTAAATAAAACTAGAAAGAAGAATGTTGATAAATTTGATGAAAAATTTAGAATCAATTCCTAGCAGTTCTACAAAGAGTCAATGCATCCCGAAAACACAGTCAGACAGAACGTCTAACCATCTGGTTGCCTCTAATTCTTCTTTCATCACATATGTACTCTTTGTAAAAGAGAGTGAAGACAGTTTTCTCTTTAGTGTCCCCTGTGTAAGCGGGAGCGGAGACAGTAGTAACTTTACAGTCCCAAAGTAATCTAGAGAGTGGATATATAAAAAAAGAAATTTAATCAGAAATGTTCATTGTCGTGTATTGACACCCTTGGACTAGTTTACTGACTGTCTCTTTGTAATCTATGGAGTGACGATTGACTTCCTCGTAGAAATGTTCATTGTCGTGTATTGACACCCTTGGTCTAGTTTACTGACTGTCTCTTTGTAATCTATGGAGTGACGATTGACTTCCTCGTAGGACAAGCACATATTAGACAGTCGGTGGCTAGGCGTAACGCTAAGGGTCCAAATTCCGCCGAGGTATTAGTCCCAACGCACGAATAATATACTATTTTAAATGGATAATGAACTTTGACCCGAAGAAGGATGAAATTTCTAAAGCTGAGATTAACATCGGAAACTTGCCGAAAAGCATGAGTAGGAGTGCGAAGGATAAATCTTTTTTTCACTAAACATACATTTTTTCACTAAATAAAACCCATTATATTCAAATACCTTACACCTTATTAATAAACATTTTATTTTATAAATGGTTTCTAAAACAATATTTGAATTATAAACCGTTTATAAAATAAACATTTTTTATGAATAAGGCCTTTATAACTTATATCGAAAATTTAATTTTTCTTATTCATCTTCTCACTTATCAAAGGTTTATTGAACACATTTTGTATGAAAATTTACTTTATAAACCTTTTATATACAATTATGAATAATGTCTTTCATATTCGGTAGGTCAGTTAATATACAGTTTTGAAATCACTGAACAGCTTGAAATGTGTTATTATAGCAAAGACAAAGGTTTTAAACCAGACTAAATCTTACGTTCAACTACTCAACACAAGATGGCGCACTATTACTAAACACTAGAGCTGAGTGCGTGAGGTGATATTTTAGAGTCACGCCATAAATTATAAATTTATAAGTGACACATTTTTAAAACATTTTAGACGTATAAATGAATCTTTAAAAAAACGCACGTTTTTCTATGTAAAAAAGTATTTAAAAAGTACCAAACAGGGGAAATTCATCTTTATTCACATTGGACACATTGAAGGTTCGCTACTGCATATCCTCTTGTCGCCTTTCTGGATATTGAAGGTGCCTTTAATAAGGTTGAACCCATTGCCATCCTGATGGCGCTAGGAGGATTGGGTGTTCACTCTCAAACTGAACGGCTCATTGGGTAACTATGTAGCAATAGGGTCATAAGTGCCACTAGCTCTCTTCATTAGGAGGTACAAAATTGAAAACATTATACCGCCAAAAAAACTTCTTACTGCACAAAGAACCTCGGCATACTCTTAGATAGCAAGATATCTTGGAATTAAAATATTTAGAACCGGGTCAACGGGATTAACGTGGTTATCTATACCTGCAAGAAGGCGGTTGGTATCATTTGGGGAATAAACCCGAAAGGTATAAACTGGACTGATTTTCGAGTCAGTGGTCTGGCCCGTACAGTTTTATGTAGTTATACTGTGGTGGCCAGCAATGGAGCATCATTCACACTGTGTAACCATTGAGAGCACTATGAGAAACATTGTCATCCTTATTACGGGAGCAATGAAGACAAAGCCAACCAAAGCACAGCATACCATATTAAACTGATTACCAGCTGACTTAATGGCCATTAAACGTACCCTCAACTCTGCGATCAGACTAAATGCATGCGGTTCGTGGTTTGTTTACAAAATTTACGGACATTCACGAATTATAAAACACTTCGAATCACTGCATTTGAATGTTGGCTATTGCATTACAAAGCCCAACTTCGATAATCGCTTTCGTATCAGGAATCTAGATAGCACTTCAGAACTAGAACTCCACCCAACTCCAGGTGTAACGAAAGTTTACACTTATACCTCCAAAAGGAGTGGAAAAGAGGGTGGTGGTTTCATTACTTAAGAATTTGTATTATGTGCCGAATTGGCTAAGGTACTATCACATATCGGGTGATATATGTATATATACTGACAGCAAAGCTATTATCAAGAATGTAACGGGTGCCTTTAAGACATCTAGGTTAATCAAAGAATGCCGGTTATCTCTAAATTAGATAACAGTACATTCTAGGATAACGCTAATATGGGTCCCTGGTCATGACAAATGTCAGGATAAATGTAAAGCTAATGAATTGGAAAGGATCAGCGCATTGTTGAATGAGAAAGAAATCGACACCTTTATTGGTATCTCTCTTATGAATTGTTCTTAAGCAACTGTATGGGAAAGACCAAATCAGCTGTTTCAAGGAAACCTCTTATCTGCACCCGAGGTCTACCAGGCCTCTATATGATGCTATCAGATCAAGATTGCTTATAAATTTTCGAAGAGAACAGATTAGAATGCTGTTATCATAAATTACAGGACACTTTGCCTTCAGCCATGAGACTAGATCTTGGATATAATGATTATCGTAGAAGTTGTCATAATGTAGAGGAAGTTGAGACGTTGTAGCATCTATTTTGCAACTGTCCAACATCCCTTTGGTTCTCCTTCTTTTTCTATGAGAGGTCTTAAAAATAGGCTTTATACATGCAACCGATTGGTTTAGTTCCGGAACCAGAGAGTGATATCAGAATACACTGCTGTGAGCATTAGAATAACACAATGGAACCAAAATAAATGGACCCAAGTGAGCTGCTTATGAAGCAGGGAATAGGGAATTAACTTGACATTTGGCATAAGAACAAAAACTTAAGAGTTTGAACCGACCAACTTGAAGACTAGCACATTAGTTCCTAAGGTAAGTGATGGTAAAAGTACAAAGTCAGATTTGGTACTTTTTGTTTTTGCACATTAATTAACCCATAAACTTAGCATGATCTCTTTTATTATTTATTAATAAAACTCTTTGAATAAGACAAATTTAAGTGCTGGAATAGACACTGACATATGTATATTACGTTTTGTTTAAATATATTTATTTAATTTTTTAATTTTCTTGTTGTTTAGTTAGTTTTTAAATAATATTTATGTAAATATTTATACGTATATATAATTAATTTTTAATTATTTTCTTAGGTTTGTTTTTGATATCATTATACAATGAATTTTAAACATTATTTACAAAATTATTTATTTTGTTTACTTATTTATGACAAATAAAATGTGGTTTGTTTAATTAATTTTTAATAATTTGTTTATTATTTTCATAGATGTTTGCTTCTTTTTAATAATTTGTATATTTTTTGGTTTGTTTTTTGCAGACATAACAACGAATGCAATGATGTCATTTTAATTTTATTTTTATATATAATTTTATAATGAGTTTTTAATAATCCACAAAAAAACTTTTCATTCTTTTTTTTTTTTTTTTCATTAATTTTTAAGGATGACAGACACTGATGAAAACATTTAAAATTTGACTATTTAATTTCTTTTAATTGAATTGCCTGAAAATTTTCACATTTTCATTTTAATTGATTTGATTATTTTATTTATTTAAGCTTAATAACTAATTGTTGTTATAATAAACAATTCTTTTGGGGTAATTGTTTAGGAAAAAATTTTAGTTTTTTTTTTGTTTTTCAAGTTTTCTTTATTTTGGAAATGGCACTCATACTAAAAACTACACATAAATTAAATAAATACATGGTTGTTTTTTTTTAATAATAATTAATGTTTTAAAACTTAATTTATTTTAAATAATTTGGTTGGTGTATTTTGCATTATTACACAATTATTCAATAAATTATAATAATACTATCCCTTCAAATAAAACAATTTTTTTTTTTTGATATAAATATTTTTCAGTTGCCAAATTTTGTTTTTATATATTATGATTTTTTAGAGCATTTCCTTTTCATTAAAACTAATTAAAGGAATTGTAGGCTGGATAGTGTTAGTTTATGGAAAATTTTACAATTTACACACACACAATTTCAAAATGAAAAGTTTTAGGAAAATTGTAGTTTGTAGGTTTTCATTTAGATTAGTTTTAAAGAAATGAAATGTTCCAAAAAACAAATTACAATTACTTAAGTTTGCTTAACGGAGAATGGTTTCAGGTGGGTTTCAGCTTTATAACAATAGAATTTAACGACGTCCTAAACCAAAGCCATAACGATTTGCCCGACGTTCTTCATTCAAGGGATCACGTTTACCCAAACCAAAACTATAAGGGCGGTTGCGTTTTTCATCTTTAAAATAAAAATAACAATTTGTTAAGTAAGAAATATTTGTTAAAATTTATTTATATACTCCCTACCCATCATAAAAGCAGCATTGTAGGCTCTATCCAAATCTTCAGCAATTTGGGCATCTGAGTCCTCATAGTCTGAGCGCTTACCCAAGCCGAAAGAATAAGGTCTGGCCCGTTTACCCAAACCGAAATTGTACACAGGCAAACGTTTAATACCATTACCGCCATTTGTATAAGTATAAGCTCTTCGGCCCAAACCAAAGGCATAACGCTCCACTCTCTTGTCATAATTGTCTTTATTTCCCAAACCAGCACCCATAATCATTCCATCCATTCCATTATCGCCATCCATATTACTGTCTGCATTTGTATTGAACAGTGAATTGGCTTGATGTCCCACATTAGGACTATTGACTTGAGAGGCTGAATCCTCATAGCTGGGTTCACTGTAGGCCACACTAAGCCAACAGGCCAACATCAAAAGGCTAACGAAACGTTTATTCATGTTTGTGTTTTTAAGGGAGAGTAAACGTGCTGGGGTGTTTGTGTGGGTTTTAAGCTGAAAAATTGTATTTTTTGTTAAAGATTTTTGTTAGTTTTTATATTTGCACAATTTTTTTGGATAATGTGTAGGTAATGATGCCGAACGATTACTTCTATTAAGGTAAAACTCATTGGGGATGTTTTAATATGCTTTTAAAGTACTTATATAATAATGGGTTTATTGGTTTTTGGGGAATTGAAATCAATAGTTTTATGTATTTTAATGTAAAGATTAAATTTTGTTTAGCTATGTAGCACAAACACATGTTATGTGGTAAAATCAACATATTTCATAGTTTCATTACAATGTAAGGAGTTGAAATGCTAAAATTTACTTACACAATAGCATTTAAAATCATTATTTTAAAATGGTGATGACATTGGATGCAACTACTTACCACAACTGCTTACAAGTAATTAGAAAAAGTAGTCAATGTAAATAGTACGTAAAAACATATACAGCTTCTATAGCTTCACGGAGTAGATGACTAATGAATTCGAAAGTATTTATATAACAAAATAATAAAAAGACGTTATTAGACTACTTATATGTACTACGATATGTAGTAGTCATTGAAAAGTATGTTAATATGTAAGTAGTTACAACTGAAAGTCATTACCGAGTTTTTGCTGGGATAATATCAATTAAGACAATTATATATTTCTTTAAAATTTAAGTTTTTAGTTTTGAAAAATATGTTTTATAGATTCCTAGGGGAACGGTTATATGTCGATCAATAAAATCTTTCCTTGGAGCCAAATTCCATTAAATAATCTTGAATATTGCGACCTGTAGTTTGATAACAAGGTTCATGTAGGACGGACAGATGGAGTGCTTTACGTGAATACCAGCAGTACCGGCTTAATTTAATGGTGGTATTTTTCAAACACTGGGTGAGCTGATCAGACTTTGCTCAACTACTCTAGCTTTCAAATCTATGCTTAACTTCCGAGATGCAAAAAACATCACATGCAAAAACCATCACATAGTCCTGGCAACTGACCACCCGTAGTACCAGATTATGTGGTTCTCTGGTTAGACCCCATGTCAAATCATACCAAGGACTAGCCGAGGAGTGAAGTGACATCACCAGTTTATAGTCCCGGTAGACTAGAGGTACTGGTAGCACCTCTATACCCCGGAATTGCAATACACCATGATGGGACATTTGATCATGGAAACATGCCCCGGGGGGAAGTAAGGTATCTGTTGTCTCGTCAACAGCAGCAAACTTATCCAGAATTACAGATTTTAACTTGCATCAGTCTTTTAACCAAAATTCTCTTCCCGCGAATTTGGGTTTAACCCACAGCCACCACGTTTACCCCGAAGTGACCAAACCAATAACAGGGACAAGACAAATTACGAAACTCTGCCCTGCGGGCTACCGTTTTCCACGGTACCAGATTATACGGTTCTATGGCGAAAGATACATTTGATCATCACCAGTTTATAGTCCCTCTTTTCCTCGGGATTGCAATAACACCAAGATGAGGGGAAAGAAAATTTAAAAAATCTTAATATTGGATAAATTTCCTTTTTATAGAAAATATTCGATAAATTTTCTTTTTATAGAAAATTTTCTTTTTATAAAAAATTTTCGACAAATTTTCTTTTTATTGAACATTTTTGATAAATTCTCTTTTTATAAAAAAAAATATTTGACAAGATTTTCTTTTTATAGAAAATGTTTGATAAAAATTTCTTTTTATAGAAAATATTTGATAAAAATTTCTTTTTATAGAAAATTTTTGACAAAATTTTCATTCAAAATTAGAAATTTTCTTCTTGTAATGTATGACAAAATTTTCATTTTATAGAAATTTTTTGACAAAATTTTCATTTTATAGAAAATTTTTGACAAAATTTTCATTCAAAATTAGAAATTTTTTCATAGAAATTTTCTTCTTGTAATGTTTGACAAAATTTTCTTTTTATAAAAATTTTTTGACAAAATTTTCTTTTTATAGAAATTTTTGACAAAATTTTCTTTTTATAGAAATTTTTGACAAAATTTTCATTTTATAGCAAATTTTTGATAAAATTTTCTTTTTCTAGAAATTTTTTGACAATTTTTTTTCTTATAGAAAATATGCAATTAATTTTCTTTTTATATTTTTAATTTTAGTTAAATAATAAAGCAATATCTTGAATAAAGAAATAAATTCTTCAAAGGACACCATGACGTATGAGTTTTAAAAAACTTGTTTTATTACGTATACGTTTATTAATAAATATTTTGAAATTTGATAAAAATCATGTTTACAAATGTATTATCATTTAGTAAACTACAAATTTACTAGATAAATTTTTATCTTTAATTATTTTTTTTCGAAAAGCGCAAAATTTTTACTTAAAAACTGCTTTTATTTTGTTAGATGTAATGTTTCTAACAAATATTATTTTGTTGGAAAAGTCTCCTTTTTAATCAAAAACAAAAATTATGATAAATTTTAACAAACTCTCATCGAATCTGTAATGATATAAAACCTCCTTAATGTATACTTATAACTTGATATTAATCAAATTTTGATTTGACAAACTGTTAACAAGACTTCTTAAGACTTAAACACATTACATTTTAATACACATGTTTAATAAAAACAAGTACAAATGCTAAACAAACATATTTGTATTGTAAATCAATCAAAATGTCAATAGAACAAATCCTGTCTAGAGAAACCAATAAAATGGAACATAAACTCCCTTCCCCCTTATTAAAATACTTACATTGTCCTACTTTACAGCAAACAGATTTTATATTTATTTAAAAGTATATAAAACTCAAATTTATTGCCAAAAAAGTAATACCAGCCTTAAGTAATAACAAGTTCATAATCTTGTTAGAGAATTGTTTTCTTTTACATGTTTACTTTAAGCCTTCGAGGTCAACAGGCCTCGTTTATAGCTAAATTAATTGTTAATTTAAACTTTAAGTTTAAGTATAAAAATAATTTCCTTGAAACGGCAAAAGGACTAATGCTAAACAATAAATAGCAGACAAAGATGATTTAAGTAGTTGATCTCTGAAGCTGTTCTAAATTTTTTTCTTGTTGCTAATACAAGTATTAACAACTTTGTCGTTAAACACTTTTAGTGTTTTTTTTGTTTAAAAGAATTTTCAATTCTGCTTTTTTTTAACACGGTTTTCTTACACTCATTTTACCAGCATGTATATGTCTTAGAGTTTATGTGTGTGTGTGCTTTAAGTTATTTAGTAAAATTGTTTGTAGCATAGCTAAAGGCGTATTAGACAAGCTTTTGTTGTATTAACAGAGAGAGAGTGTCTTGTTTAAAGCATAAATAAGGGCATCAGTTCGTGTTTTTTTGTTGCTGTTTTATTTCATGAAGTGACAATGATGCCGGGTATTAAATATTTGCTGTTTTTTTTTTTCATTTTATATTTATTTAAAACAAAATAAATGTGAAAACAAAGTATTTGTGGCAACAAATATTTCAACACTCTTATAAGATAAATACACAGAAAAATATGTATGTAAGTATGTATGTGAGCGAAGACAAGAAAAAAAATATGTCACTATTAAGAAAATGTTTTTCTTTTATTGATACACTTGAAGAATTTTTTTTTTAATTGATCAGTGTTAATAAATCAAATATATTAAAGAGATTCGGTTGTTAAGTAAAAGTTTTGTAGGAAATGCGAAAGAAATTTAAATGTTTTGAATTTTTAATATAAATAGAAAATTTATGTTAAATATTAATTTAAAAAAATTTCGATAAATTCTTCTACAATTTTTCATGAATTATTTTTCATAGAAAATTTTAGAAATTTTTTACTTTTATGAAAAGATTTTAAAAATGTGGATATTTAATAAATGTAACGATACATTTAGAAAGCTTTTTTAAATTTTTAATTTTCTAAAGTTTATATTTTAATGAAAAGTTCTAGAGTGTTTATGGAAAGATTGCGAAAATTTTGTTATTTACAGTCAATGAAAGCTTTCTTAACATTTATAGAAAGCTTTCTTAAATTTTTAATTTTCTAAAGTTTATATATTAATGGAAAGCTTTAGACAGTTTATATTTTTAATAAAAACTTTCAAAAAGCTTTTTAGAAAGATTTCAAAAATTGTATATAAAGTTTTAAAAAATTTCGCATTTTTATAAAAGCTTTCGAAGACTTTTATAGAAAGCTTTTGAAAATGTCGTGTTTTTTATAAAGCTTTTGAGAATTTGGACTTTTTAAAATTTCGACTCATTAGAAAACTTTTGAAAATTTAGAGTTTTTTTATAAAGCTTTCGGACTATTTACAAAGCTTTTGAAAATTTCGATTTTTACATAAACCTTTATAGAAAGCTTAAATGAATTTTAAGTTTTATATTAAGCTTTCGAAAAATTCAACATTTGAAAAAGCATTCGAAAAGTTAAAAGCTTTTTTAAGACAGATTTCTATATTTTCAGAATGTTTTACACTAAAAGATTTGAAATTTTCGAAAACATGGAATTTTATGTAAAAGCTTTTAACTTTTTCAAAAAATTCGACTTTTATAGAAAACTGATTTTTATAAAATGTTTAAAAAACTTTTAAATAATCAAATGTTTCCATTTTAAAAAAAATTCTATTGACAAACAACTTCTGAAACGTTCTAATTGCATGGAAAGCTTTCTTAAACTTATTTTTTTTTCGAATTATTTCTGTATTCAGATTTTGTTATAAATAAAATTTTTTTTTGTAGAAAGAATTTCTATAAATTTTTAAAAAGTTCTGCTTCAGTTTAATGGAAAACTTTAGAAAGAGCTTTCAAAAATTATTAGCTTTGGAATAAATTTCTATATATATTAAGAATTTTTCTATTGACAGAGCACTTTTTTTAAAGAAAAAACTATTTATAAAGCATTTCGGACAAAATTAAAACTTTTAGAAATATTTGCTTTTAATAATTTCAAAATTTAAATATTATTTTAAAAATAATTTTTTCCATATTAAACAGCTGCTATCAACAGCAGCTCTTTTGCATCATCTCTCATTATCCCCAGTGTATAAAAGTATTGC